AAAAGACCGAATGTATTAAGCAAAAATGGTCAGCAACTTTATTTTAACTTTAATTTTTAGTATCTAACTTCCAATTTTATCCTAATTTTTACCCTTAAGTATTAACAACAAAATTATAATAAACAATTATATGATGCTCAACACCACCGGTGCGATTTATAATAATTGTTAAAATTTATTAAAAGAGTTGGTCAGTAATGTGGCTGGGGGTGCTATAACTACCAGAAGAGTCACCATTGAGAAAGTAACTATTAAATTTATAGGATTGGAAAAGTAATTATGGTACTATCAAAATGACAGTTGCAGAAGCACTAAACGAGTGTAAAAGGAATTGATATTTCCAAAGTAACGATATCACTACTGTTAGAGCGATGACTGTCGAAAAGCAACTACTATCAAAACCACGTCAAAGGTTTTTGGCAGTTGTGGTTTCTCCGGAAGTCCTAGATTTAGGAATAGGTAAGTTTGATTTGACTTAATCTAAATTTGATTAATGCAGGATCTGCATATATTAGATTTAAATTAAACCAAAACAAACTAAATCAAACTTCCCCATCCCTACCTAGATTTGATTAAAGCCAAGACCGCCAGAGAAACCAAAACTGTTAAAAAATAACTATTGAGGAATCATTACTAATACAACTATACCTTTTGAGAAGAAGTAATTACCAAAGCCATAATCGCCGGAAGAACCGCTACTGTCAAACTTAACCCAATGGAAAAATCACTACAACCAAAGCTTACGACGTGAACCATATTGAGGCTGAGAGAGGGTATGTGGATTTTATTTTAATGTGCCCACTATACAGAGTTATAAATAATAACCATGTAACACCTAAACGTTATACACAAATAAAGATATGTTCATTTGTGTACATCTTTCTTGATACGTTGTTGCTCATTTTCCCGAAGTCCATTTTTCTGAAATACTATTTCACCGAAGTCGTAATACCGACAATCCATTTTACTGTCGGGACAGAAATAGGTCTGTGTTATTTCACCGAATATCAATTAACCGACAAGTTTATTTCATTGACAGTTTATTTAACCAGCAGTCATTTCACCGACAAAATAATTCTGACCATTGTCGATTTAGAATTAGAGTTAAGGTTAGTGCAATTTTTAAAAAAACTTGTCGGTGAAATGAGCTGTCAGTGAAATAATTGTAGTAAAATAAACTTTTCGGTTATTTGATTTTCGGCGAAATGACAGATCTATTTCTGTCTTGCTAGCAAAGTGGATTTTCGGTATTACGACTTCGGTGAAAATCAATTCCCGACAAGTTTATTTTACCGACAGTACGATTCACCGACATTTTAATTTTTATAAGTAGCCATTTTTTATGGTTAGGCTAGGGTGAGCGCTAGTATTGTCCTTTGTCATGTTGGGTTGTTAATAAAAGTAACTTGGATTTGACGAATTTTTCTTTTACAAACCGTACGTACTATCATGAGTTCTGCACGTCTGTCCTAATTTGTGTTTCTGTACATGCCCTGAAATAAGCATCTATTACTTGTCGATGTCGGTGAATCGTACTGTCAGTGAATTGATTTTCGGTGAATCATATTACGGTGTTAAGATAATATTAACCATTTTGTGCGGCAAAGATGAACTATAATTCTTAGAGCAGACAGACAAGCATTCAGTAAATATATGTTGGGCTTTTTCCCTGAAAATGACCTTATGAAACATAATAATTACTATATTTCATAAGATCGTTTTCAAAGCAAAGATCCCATGTTGTTGTCTGCGAAGTTAACAATAAAATATATATATTCATTTCAAAACATCACTATTTGGGATTTTTGCTAGGAAAATGACCCTCCGAGGCTATGTTGATTTTGTGAATAAACATTAAATTTGCCAACCATCTAGTTATCCAATTTGAATGATATTTTTTTTTTATTTTGTAGATTCTATTGAGATTTATAAAATAAAAAAAGTTCATTCAAATTGAATGACTAGATGGTTGGCAGATTTAATTTTTATTCACAAAATCAACATAGTTTCGGAGGATCATTTTCCTAGCAAAGATCCCATTTTTGAAATCACGAATATAGGCGTTGCTATGGGAAAATCAAATTTCAAGTTTAAATTTTAATTTAATAAATTAATAAACTCACTTGATTACATACCATATGCCGCTGATTAAAACTTTTAGAGGCAGAATTCAAATAAACAATAAATTTAAAACCCGATGTCATGGTTTTCTTCTGACAACACTTATTATTAATTATTATTTCCTCTAATTTGTTACGTAATAATAATAAGCAAGAATTTCGATATATCAAAGTGTAATCTGATCGATGGATTATTGAATTTAAAATATATTCACCATGTCTCCTTTACTTCTTTAACGTGTTTGTTGCCAGATTGCATTTATAAATCATAATATAAAAATCATTTGTTATAATAGGGTTGCCATCTCTAGGCTGCATTCATCTATAGTAGTATAAATATAATGCTTGCACACGATTTCTCTTGTAAGATTTCTCTTGTAAGGGAAATTTATCACACTTATGAAAGTCTGTAAAGAAAATGAATTTTGAAAAATCAGATATCACGCGACATTACGCGAATGACGTAATATATCGACGATTCATTAATTCACGTGATAGTGATAGGCATCAATGGTATCACAACGATGAACTGCTGAAAATACAACTGTTAAATAATTCCCATAGGTTGCTACAACAGCGTAATCACGAAAGTTTTTTATTGAATTAAAATTTAAAAAAGATCGCGTTGATTAATGTTTGACAAGAATTCGCTAGGTAACATACATTTCAATTTCGGATAATAAGACTAGAATAATTTGCGTAATGGATGAAGGAATGACAAAATATCTTTATTGGTGTTTAACAGGATTCTAAACATGAAATAATTTAAGTTAATGCTGCTCATGATCAAATTTAGTAAAAGGAATATTCGATCAAGAGTTCCAATAATCTATTAGAGGTTTGTAGAGATGCAAACGGCGTTAGAACAAACAATTTGTGATACGTCTTATCCATTAGAAGTTAAACTATTATTAAATAAAAAAAAAACAAAATACGAGAATTTTCGGACACACCGAATATTGGGAAGTGTATTGAATTCGGGAGATTTTAAACTCCGAAGGATTATTTATAGTCATGTTGGGAATCCATTATTATTAGACACTGAATGTAACATGCATAGAAAAATGACTGAGATTACTGAAAACTTTGTTTTCAGCATGCACTTTGAAAATAATAATGTCCTACACATGTTGTACATGAACACATGGCTTTTTTTTTTAAAGTCTCAACTTTTTTTTTTATTGCACTCGTACGATGCTTTATAACTTTCTCTTGATTTACATCAGTAAACTTGATTATCAAAACATTTAACATATCAGCCAATCTTTTATTAGTAATAATATGCCACATTCAGCCATAATTAATTTTCAAAACCACTTTGAAATCTAAGATATGATTTGCAACTTTTTTTAAGATTTAGGTAACGTGCTTTATTCTCCGCAGAAACTATGTCCTTACACGAATACTTTAAAAGTATTTACACAAGTGTGATGATTCGATCTAAGGCAAGCACAATCATGCAATTTAGTCTCATGCAGAATAACGATAAATTACGCCTGATTACCTAATCAAGGAAAGATGAACATGATTACCCTTTCAGACAAACTCGGGCGGATCTCTTCGCGGGCAGGTCCGTATGTGAAATTTATTAAGCATTTATAGGTGATAAAAGTAGATGGAAAAGATTAAAGCATGTGAATTATGAAAATAGTATTAATTTTTAGAAAAAAAAGGATGATTCTTTTCCGAGCGAAAGTATTACATCTTTCATAAAAAAAAAAACATCATTACCATCTTGAAGTTTACGAGATAAGGTTTATTAAAATAGAAGAGATAGTCGCATTAAAGTAATTATTTTAAAAGGCTTTTAAATTATAACTATTTGTAACCTATGAGTTAACTTTAATCTTATTTAGTTGAAAAGCTTTCTAATACAAAGTTTCTAGACAAAAAAATCTATTCGTCACATGATATGATATGATATATACTCTTTTTGGCTTTATTAAAAACAACCATTATTCTTTAATTTCTTCTTAAAATTCTTCTTAACATTCTTTTAAAATATCCTAAACTTTAAATTTCTCAAGTTTCTTTAAATTTTTTTTAAAGTTTTCTAAACTTTAAATTTCATCAATTTCTTGAATTGAAAGATTCTTATATAAAGATATTAAGAAGTTACTTTTTTATATCATTATTATCCATTTATTGATATTACATTTCAATTTGTTCAAAAGATATATGTATATTTATATATCTAAAGATAAAACATTAATACAATTGTCCAAAAGATGTTGTCTAGAGAAAAAACTAGTAATTATCAACCACTTATTTAATTAACACATATATGTCATATATTTACGCAAATGCTGTATACAATCTATATTAATAACCAAAATCCTAAAAGACAAAAAAAAAAGAAAAATACATATTAAAAAAGTTGTTATTACCTATCATATTCTTAATAATTCCTGTATTTAATAAATCTAATTAAAGGATTCAACCTGTAAAAAATAAAAAAAGAACAAATTATATACAAAATATAATAAAAGAAAATAAGTTTTTTTTTTCAAACACAAATTAGTAATTATAATATTAATCGTTAATCTAAAAGAAAAGAAAAAAGAATCAGAACCAAAACATTTACAAGATGCGCATATATTCGACCAATTTAAATACCAATAAAATAAACACTACGGATAATCACCATGAACAATCGGAGTAGGATTCCAAATATTGTAACCCTTATTATCACGATCATTATAAGCTTTCTTAATAGGTTTTCCTATTCTATGAACTCTTAAATGTCTACGCATATTACTGTGGACCGAAAATCTTCGACCACAACCCGGTTCTGTACAAACAAATGGTTTTTCACCGGTATGCGAATTAATATGAATTTTAAGAGAACTAGGACGAGAAAATCTTTTTATACAATAAGGGCATTGATAACGATTTTCTTCTTTAGTTGAAGGTTTAGCATTGAAACCTCCATGAAAAAGATATTTTGGTGAAGTCATATTGTTAAATAATGAAGGATTAGAATGCGGAATAGAATGTCCCATAGTAGAAAATTTGTCATCATAAGGTCGGATTGGAGCAGGTCAAACAAGTGAGTAACATTGTTGAGAAGATTGAAAATTATTATAAATTGATGATTTATCATATAAATTAATTGATGATCTAACATCTTCATTTGCAGAACGGCAACAGGAGTAATTACAAGATTGTTCTTTAGGTGACTGTTGAACTGGAGGAATATATTGTGTCATATCTTGTTCTATAAACCCAAGTATCATTAAAAGAATGAAAATTTATAAGAACCTATCAAATATGACATTAATTAGCAATTGAAGGAAATTTTTGCAAGGAAATTATTACCAGTATTTATCAATTTATTTTTAACATGAAAACGGTTATCAACAGTTTTTGAAGGATGAGTTAATGAGTTATTTAGACTGGTAGGGAATGGGAAAGAACCTGAAGATGGGAAAAGAGATTTAAATGGTGGGAGAGTGGTGGATTGCATTCTTAATTAATAAGATGAAATAAAGATTAAAAAAATAAAAATAAATAAATAAGAAAGTAGGAAAAAGAAGATGAAAATATTTTACGGTGAACAAATAGAAAGTTTAACACCGTGATGGATAAATTCAGGGACTAATGCTTATTTATGCTAAAGTTGTATTATTATTGTGTCACACTGGGAATCGAGTGAACTTGGTTTGGTAGAATGAAATACCTTAATAGTAATGTAGGATTCAGTAATGCTGTTAATTATCATGATTTTCTATAAGCCCTGTAAACAAACATTAACATTGATGTTGTGTAATGATCGTTAATTGGTTATTCATCAGACGGGTATGAACTGTGATACGTAGATGCAAATCTTTAAATTTACGGATGAGTCGGGTCAACTAAGTTTCGCGCGCTAAAATTCATCTTAACAAAGTATAAAGTGGTTTGTTTATACTATAGCATATTTTTGTCCGCCGTCTTATATCATTAAATTTTAGTTGTGTTACTGCATGCTTAACATAATAACAATAAACAAATGTTAGTGTATATCGGGGAGATAAAATATCGAGAGAAACTAAATAAATAAAAAAATAAAAAATAAAGGATTTATTATTGTTTATATGCTTTATAAATCTTTATTTATATTAACGCTATATTAATGAAACAGAAAGTCTAAAATTCAATATTGAAATATTTGTAAACTCGTGTGATCAATAAAACTTTAGAATATATGCTATAATATGAACCATTAATTGGGTATATTTGATTTATCCAATGCTTTATTATCTTACTAAGATTAATTTAACAAATTTTATAAATCAATTATTTATAGTATTTCTGTATTATAGAATTATCATAGTTAAACAATTATTGCGTACTACGTAAGTAATAATTTATATTCTTTCTGATTGTCAGTAACCCAACCGTACCGGTTAGGTTACAAAACAATCAGGATAACTCGTAAAATGTTACAGTAATTGCATGTTTCGCATGCAATTACTATATAAATAAGATTTAATCCATTTGTATAAGAATATATGTATATTATCTATTGCATCTATAATAATCTATAATAATCTATAGTATTATAGTATTATAGTATTATAGTATTATAGTATTATAGTATCTATAGTATTTATAGTATCTATAGTATTTATAGTATCTATTGCATCCATAATAATCTATAATAACCTATAGTATTTATAGTATTTATAGTATTTATAATATCTATAGTATCTATAGTATCTATAGTAGTATATATAGTATCTATAGTAGTATCTATAGTAGTATCTATAGTAGTATCTATAGCAGTATCTATAGTAGTATATAGTAGTATCTATAGTAGTATCTATAGTAGTATCTATAGTCTACATAACTTTCAATTTCTAGCTCCAAAGAATATCATGTAGATATACATTGTGGAGAATAACCTTATCGTTAGTTAATCTAGTTAACCTAGTTAATTTGTGTCTCTCCGGTATCACAGCAGTGAGCATAATAAATTATCGTGATTTGCACCGCGTTTATTAAAAACATAGTGTTGCAAATTCTTTGTCCCCCCTTCCTGTATATGTATGTATATTCTATATATAATACATATCATAATAAAGTTTCATTTGATTATATACAGCTAGACTCATTTTACACTTCCTCATTGATGGTCTTTGCCTTTTGACTAATTAATTATTATGATGACCGTATGCAAATACTTATTATCAAGATAATTTCACCAAGTTTGTGAAAATCATGCAAATATTAAGCTTTAACTTTACCCCAAAAGTTCACGGATAATCTTTTTGTCCGAATTACTTGGATTTAAATTGTACCTATCAGGTTCGGCGGTGGAACTTTATATGAACTTGGATATTACGTAAACTTTATTCAAGCGAGTTCGGGACCTTTATTAATTCATCTATGGCATGAAATTCTTCCTTCACAAATTTCTTATTTAATAACTACTTAATCGATATAAATACATTTAATAATATAATTAGAAATCATGTCCGATTTAGTGTTACCTTTAACAAATTTAATTTAATTTATTTTTATCAGCCTTTTTTTTTCTATCCAATCTTAAAATCCACGTGCCAGTATTTGCAAGAGAAGGTTAATTCTTTATAACTTATCGTAATTGTATGCATGCGGAAGCAATGAAGGTAAAAAATGCGCGTCTTCTGAATCAATCAACCATTGTGGTTATAATTCTGACTTGAAATTTCACATCACACCACTAGTTTGAAACAATTATTGGTTACAAAATATATCTTAGCATTGATTACGTAATATTATGGCGACATAATTTTATATCTTTTTCCGATTGTAATACAGTACTTATTTCAATGCATAAATCCGCCTCGATAAATTCGATTTCAGGGATCAGTATCACATTATATGTATCACATATCGCAACTAATACGTAATTGGATCTACGTAACCTACGTTACATTTAGATATTGTATTGTTATACTGCGCCAGCGATGCGTAAAACAACCTGAAAATGTAAAAAAAAGAAAAAAAAAAAGATTTCCTATTTTCTTCAAACCTTTATATGGACGTAAACAAAACGAACATGATTTTTTTTTTTGTTCTATATATTAATATAATCAGGTATTAGCAATAGGAGGCTAGGTTTCGTTTTATAAGAAAAAACCTGAAAATGATTACAATGAGAATTCTAATTCCGAAACATTTAATCGTCACAAGTGAGCCTCATTGGTTAAATAAAATTGATGTAGATTTTAACAAGTAAACTTGTTAGGCCATTTGTTATTTAACATATTAAATTTCGTGTTTACAAGTTAATATTTCACAAAAGTAATTGACTATATGCAGTGATGTCAATTTTTTTCGATCAAATCAATTTAATTGGCATTTAATTGGCACTTAATAGGCATTTAATTGGCCATTGGCAAGCCAAAAAGAAAAAGAAAAAAAAAACCCATTAATATGGCTTTTCTTTGGCCATTTTTGGTCAATAAATGACCAATTAAATTGTTTTGGCTGAGTAAATTGTCACTACGTACTGAATGTGTATTAAAATCTTGGCATAAATAAAAGATATTAATTTTCAAATCATAATTAAGTTTTCGAAAGCATATTTCTCGAATGGACATAATTCCGACAAAGTTGACCGGCATTAACTATAATACTGATCGGTTTAGTCGATATTATGTTTTTTTTGGAGAAAATAGCTAGCATTTTTTACCTTCATTGCTTCCGCATGCATACAATTACGATAAGTTATAAAGAATTAACCTTCTC